AGTATGTTACTTTACATCTTTTGTTTGTTGTTTAACGCCGCACTCAGCTATATGACGACGGTCTGTTAATAACAGAGGCTGGATGGGACAATCAAGTGGTCAACAGCATGAGCATCGATGACGTGTGCCAACCAAGTCTGTGAGCCTGACCACCCGATCCCATTAGTCGCCTCTTACGACAAGCATGGGTTGAAGACTAATTCTTACCCGGACTTTCACGGATGTGTTTTACATCTACAATGGGGCATTGCTGGCACAGTCCCTTTGCAGAGTTGCGTCCCTTTGGCACGCAAGCATCATGATTGTTGGTTCGAATCCCTAATCTCACAAATGATGTTTCTAAGTTGGTCAGCACCATACCCGTCCTCGTGGGTTTCACCACAGTGAGAGATATGCATCACTTCGGGCTTTCTTTCACCATTAAGCTGACAAGCCGAGATATAGTTGAAATACTGTTAAATCTGATATGAAATCCTGCCTGGTCAATCTAGATATATAGAAATATTGGTTAAGTCCAAACGGCCAGGGCGAGCAAAAATGAAAGTGTACTCGTTAAAATACAGTAAGCATTGTATACATTTTTGTTGTAGGTGCAAACTGTAAACCATATTCAGGTGTCTGTTGTCAACATCAAAATGTGCAGAAAAGTGCTCAACGTTAGTTGGGTGTCATTTGTCATTTCTGTACATGAAAATGATCACCGGATTGTCTGGTGACACTGTGGGCGTTAGACACCACACGTGTACCGTTTCATGAAACAAGTGGCGGGTGTACCGATATAGAATGACAAACTTACTTTTTTTACCGGGATTTGTCAGTGATAGTCTGTTATTAATTCTCTATATAGCTATTTATCTTGCATGAAATCTGGCTTGGGTAGATTAAGGTTACGTTAGCATTTTGAATTTATTTTCTTATTTTTCTAAAGCTACACATGATTGCTAGGAAACATGCATTCTGTATGTGTCATTCTGTGCAAAGCGTTAAGTATTGATATACAAAAGAGCATGAAGCAGATAATCATTTACACACCCACAGCATATTAAACTCGTATGTTTTATGGCGACGCGATCCGTGAAAACAAATTACATTAATATTTTTGCACCAGGGAGATTTCAAACGTTTTTAATAATCCGCCTACATCAATAGTTAAATGCACATAATGTTAAATCTATTTTGCTCTTTTTGAGAAATATTATCAGGCTTTCCTCTCCCACCACAACATCTGAATGTATGTATGCGATATCTATTCGAGCGCTTACATGTAGCAACATACATGCACGCATAAGTATGATGAAGAATGGTGAGATTACTGACACACACTGTTGTGAAGCCTAGTCTCTGTCGTAAATGCACAATAACCATTCCGTTGGGATCCACAACATGGACAATACAAACCATCCTCTCATAAAGGGTATCTGACAGAGCCTGTGTCTCCGTTGCCAGTACACTGTAGTCATCTATGACCTTCTGTGAAAACCCTCCCCTGTCTCCCTGCTAGACGTCCGGATAACTGACTTGGCACACAAGCAGACAAAAAATCGAAACGGTGTTTGCCCAAGGGTTCTAAATAACCATCTTCTCCACGGAGGTTAGGTTTAGTTGGGAAGTTAGGGTACTGCTATTTGGCTCTCAATCTATATTTGAACATACATCAGCTGGCTTTGGACGTAAATTGCTCGGGCGTGTCTGAAGTTAAACAGCGGCTGGTCTGTTTCGCTGGATGGGACTCCCAAGGCGGAAGGCTCAACAGTTTCAAATAATACTGGGTTTAGGAAATTACTTTGTGTAATCTTCTTAATTACATTTGTATTCATGACTGGTTTCGTTGTCTATAGTTGACGCGCGGTCGCCTAGTTAAGACGAATCAAACTTGATTGATCAAGCGCCTTCATTCTTCGTTCAATCAGTTTCACTGAAAGATAGAAAGAGAAAGATGACAAAATAACCCCAGAGATAAGGACCAATTTGGAATTACGTTGATCTTTATTGAATGAATATTCACAGCCCAAACATCAAAGTGGAATTAGGAAATAGTAATCAGCTAATTGTACAGATTAAGTGGTAATTGTGGTATTCCCCTCTTATTTCTACATATATCACAATTACCTTTGAAACAACAAAGAGATTTTAACCCCGATGAATACAACCAGTCTATTCTAATTGCACACACGTCTGTTGTAATTACAGATTACAGTTACGTTCTCAATTATGTGCAGTTAATGTAACACGGGTAGGGATTAAGTGTGATGCAACATGTGTATATGTTATTGAAACTGAGAAATACTATTAAGTGTCACTCCGCTTTGTAGTTTTTCTCGTGTGTTCCGTCTGGAGATTTAAGCACGGGTCGCCTAATCATGTACAATTGGCTATGCAGATGTGTGTCCCTTAGGTACGCAAGGCTTCTTACTTCGCAATATGTACATAAAATATGTACCCCGATTATGATTTAGTTAGCTGAACGTCATGAACTTCAGCAAAATGAGGCATGCACTACTTCGGGATTCCCCCCTCATTAAGCTGACACGACAGGATGCAACTGGAACTCTGTTCAGAGCGGCGTAAAACCAAACTCACTCACTATCTCCATTCGGAAGTCGTAATAGGGACAAATCGATTCGCTGCATTTTCAGCTTGTCCTTTCCATTTCTCCATGGGTACATGTCGGTCTGCTTGAGTGTTGGGTGTACATTTTGGTTGACATTCAAACAGATGAATTGTTTGTTTGTTTTATGTCCAGACGTGTTGCTGTTCGTTTATATGAAAACAAACCCGGATATTCCTGTCATCCAAACTTAAGCGTTATTTGAAATCAGGCTTTTTCACATCCCGCATCATCGAATTTCATAGTTACTTTTAAAATGAAAATATCGAAAGCCCACGCGCATCCTGACACTGTATAGCTCCTTATGATAACGTACTGTGCCAGTTTGTACATACCATAGCTGTTGCTGAACGGCAGGAGACTTTAACACTACTACACTTTCCCAACACATGTCTTTCCATTCTAATGGACAACCGCTTATGAAAAGTCTTATTCAGGAAAGCCAGCGGTTAAACGAAACCACTTTTAAGGATACCTTTTTCGACCAGGGAAGTATCATACATAAGTTGGTTATGTGCATGTTTCAAGAACTTCTCCACAATTGACAATGGCTTTCCCTTCCATCCACTATGTTATTCTCATTGTGTTGTATTGAGCTGGCTTGCTGACTTGGTTGACACATGTCCTCGGTTCCCACTTGCGCAGATCGATGCTCATGCTGTTGCTCACTGGATTGTCTGGACCAGACACGAATATTTGCAGACCGCCTCCATATAGCTGGAATATTTCTATATGGAAGACTGCGGCGTAAAACTAAACTCACTCGCTCACTCACTATTATTGAGCTGGACAGCGTCGATTGAAACAACTTGTCCATGTTCCAGAGTATTTTTCCTTGGCCTTACGGCTTTAATATACAAATGTAAAATAATGGTATAGCTGGATCACCGATAAATCCTAAAAAGGCACGTGTACACACAGACATGTGTAAGTTTGTTTTTGTCTGAGATCATGTGTTATTTCAATTATTAAGTTAGATGTGTTAATGATGAGAAAAACGCCAGTGCAAAGCTGGCTTGAAATAGTAAACGATACCAGACTTTAAGTATATTATTGTAAAACATAATCGAGAAGATCTGAGGGAAATCAATATCCACAGCATGATGATTTTTATTATTACGTTTGTAATACCAGATGTAAGTGTTTCTGATGTTCCTCACCGATCCCAAATGTGAGATCGGATAAATGTATATTAAAATGCAAGAGGTTGCTCTCACTCCAATTCCTCTAGTTCTGTTTCAAGATAATCAGGCTTCATCGTTTTGCGAAACCACCCCTGCCACCGAGGAGCAATGTGGCACATCTGTAATTTTGATAGATGATACATTTAGGACAATAGCAGACGTGTGGCTTGTCTGCTTACAGTCAGCCTCGACGTGGAGAGCGACACATTGTCACTTTGACCTAGGATGTGGATTTTAAGATTATAATCTTTTGTGACGTATCTGTATGTTAATCTTAAGGTGCATGGTGGCTCATTCTTTCAATTATTGAACACGTAGCGTCTTTCGTCAGCACAGTCTCCAGAGGCACTGTGACGCAAATAGAGTATACAGTATCTCAGTGCACTGTTATTCATAACCATTTTCTTCAGACCAGTCCCAGGACACGCATAGTGTCACATATTCCATCTGCAGTATCTCAACTGCTTAATCCTTTACTTCAGGTCAGTTTTGTGTGTCATCTTCCACCTGCAGTAGCTCGACTGCTTAATCCTTTTACTTGAGGCGACTTTTGTATCTCATGTTCCATCTGCAGTATCTCAACTGCTTAATCCTTTAATCAAAGTCAGTCTTGTGTCTCATGTTCTATCTGCAATATCTCAACTGCTTAATCCTTTACTTCAGGTCAGTCTTGTGTCTCATGTTCTATCTGCAGTATCTCAACTGCGAAATCCTTTAATCAAAGTCAGTCTTGTGTCTCATGTACTATCTGCAGTATCTCAACTGCTTAATCCTTTAATCAAAGTCAGTCTTGTGTCTCATGTTCTATCTGCAGTATCCTAACTGCTTAATCCTTTACTTCAGGTCAGTCTTGTGTCTCATGTTCTATCTGCAGTATCTCAACTGCTTAATCCTTTACTTCAGGTCAGTCTTGTGTCTCATGTTCTATCTGCAGTATCTCAACTGCTTAATCCTTTACTTCAGGTCAGTCTTGTGTCTCATGTTCTATTTCCAATAGAGCATACACTATCTCAACTGTTTAATCCTTTACGTCAGGTCAGTCAAAGGACGCACGATAGTTCATCTGTTGTTTGAAATGTAGTACACAATATCTCAAGGGTATATACATACATAATCCTTTCCTCCAGGTCTGTTTCAGGACGCATTGTGACTCATTGATTTGAACTAAAATATGCAGTATCTGACTGATTTAATTCTTCTTTTTTCAGGTCAGTCTCGGGACGAATGGTGACCAGCGTGTGGTGGTTTTTCACACTCATCGTTATCTCCTCCTACACTGCCAACCTGGCTGCATACCTCACAGCAATGAGGATGAGCACGCCAATCTCTTCCGCCGAGGACCTCGCTAAACAGACGGAGATCAAGTACGGCACGACAAAATCCGGGAGCACGTGGTCTTTCTTCAATGTAAGCAACATCATCCGGTGCACGTGCTGAAACATAGTGGATGACACGCGCATCTTGTAGAAATCGATGATGAACCTTATCTGCACCAATGTTGAGCTTGCATTACAAAAGTGGCTGAAATTAGGTTTTCAGTTGTGGGATTTAGTTGTCAGTTGATATTTCTTCATGTAAAATTGATTTGACTGCAACTGTGTTTGAACATGTTCTTTGAATACATAAAAATTTATAACAGTGACCTACATACATCTACTATCAGTCTTTCTCTGGCAGGCAGCTTGCAAAAACGTAGGTTTTATGTCTGAACAAGTCCTTGTATCAAATCAATTTTCATGATTCTCATGTTTCCCCTACTCAGAATTGCCAGAGATATTGGCCGATATACAAGCTGAAAGTCTGCCCTGGGGTATCAGTCATAGAAATATATTATTGCTCATGACCTTGTTCATGTTGTACAAAATAACGCGTTTATAGATACATTCCAGTTATGGTCATGTAATTTCATATAGTAATTTGCAATGTCCTGTGAGTTCTCTGCTTCATCTCCAGCATGTGAAGCCGATGTTACTTTGTCATTATCATGAGTACGACTGATGCACCACTATCTTATAACTAGTTCACTAAAAGTCATTTTAACCAGATGTTTGGTGCATTAAAAGTTAACATTCATGTGTGAGAAGGATATTTTTTGATATTTCGAAAGTACCAACGATCTCTCCCATGTACTGAAATCTCTTGAGATAATTTTTATGCTAAATTTACAATAAGTACAGTTTCAGCTTACGGATATACGGGCTTGTCAAACATTGTTTTGGAACATCTCTTCTGTCTTCAGGGATCGATCTGTCATTTTAGTTGACGTATTCGTAGTAGTCTTTTTCACGATGAAAGGCTACTCCCGCTAATAGAGCTCGGAGACTTGCCACACTTGAAAATGTCACATTCACTAATTACTTCAGAGAGCGCCAATCCTCAAACCAGTTGGTGGTCTAAATGTTTCTGTAGTCAACTGAATAGTTATTTTGACCTTTAAGTATGAGTGCGACTGGTAACACTGGAAATACTCAGTCGTTACCAACCACCTGGTGTCATCTTGCAAGCACACGTTGTTCTCTGTGTCTGCCTTATTTTTGTTTGGATTTTTGTCTTGGAGACTCAGAATAAATACCCCAAATCCATTAACGAAATTAATTGTCTTCACGACGAGAATTTTATTTCTGGGTAGGTGCAAGGGAGTTGCGTCCCTTTGGCGTTCCAGAAACGTATGATCGTGGGTTTTAATCTCGTTTCTCCCTTTCTATGTTCTTAACTCAAAAACTAAAAGTTTCACCAGGGTGGCAAAACATCTAAGACAGTCATCTCCTTGGGCTTTTCCATCACTCGAAGCTAACACGAAGCAGCATTACTGAAATACTATTACTAAAACTTCTTGCACTCATTTCAGGGATCCACAGTCTCCTTGTACCAGCGGATGTGGTCTTTCATGACCTCCCAACCGGATGTGTTTGTCAGCCAAAATAGCGAGGGAATAGCAAAAGTACGGCAGGAGAATGGCAAGTACGCCTTTCTCATTGAATCCACTACTAACGACTACCACAACCAAAGGGAACCATGTGACACCATGCAAGTCGGCACCAACCTCGACTCTAAGGGATATGGCATTGCAACACCGATGGGTTCAGATATTAGGTAAGTGAGAGGGTAAGTGAACAGGATTACAGCTCCTCAACTTTTGTAACCATCTAGCGCTCAGTACAAACTCTACTTGATGTCTAAAGAAATGTTACACTGGCGTGCCAACGCATAACGACATTCTGTATTTTACCTTAAGTGGAAAGTGGTACCCTTAGGACTGTGTGTGAAAGGGATTCTTTAATGCTATATTTATATCAAGTGCTACTTATGGTCAGAATCTCTGCAGTTTCCATAACAGTTTCCATTAAAACCGTATGTGAATTATTCCACGCTGTGTCAGGAAGACCTCGAAGTAGGACAAGCATGTGTTGACTACCTTGGCGAGCACTTGCATGCGATTCTGACAAAGTAGGGATCATTTTAAAACCCAGTTTGAACCCAGGATCAGCAGATCATGGTATGGAAAAGGGGCGCAACTCTGTATAGCTATTTACAGCTCCATAGACTATAGGTCCTTCCATGTATATTATATTGATAAACCATCAGTTGACAGAAGAGAAGTAGTAGCAAAGTTCGCATATCTATGCAGTATTTACAACATCTGAACATACGAATACTTACATGTACAGCTACGCATCATAATTTTTGATATAGGACTGGGGAAATATCAGCAATACCAATTACTTACCATCAGGGTATATTTATCAACGATGCATTTCTGCCAATATGCATACATTTACCGTTACATTATAAGTGCACGTAGCTCTGTTGTATCCTTGGCCCACTAACTGAAAATCTACATTCATCATCATCCCACACCAGTGTCGGTATACGGGAATAGAAGACGCCCACGCGAATGATCTTCATTGTCATTACTTGGATATGATCATATGTCACTCTCAAACTATAAACATTATATATTGTAGTCGGAAAATGTGGGTAGCTTCTTTAAGGGGCATTTAGAAGCTGGTATGATGAAGAGGAACACTTTTTATGGATGGACAACTTCTTTAATTGCAATAGATGCGACGTTTCGGTGTAGATCTGAACACCATATATAAAGCAGCTGATTTGTAAACAACGTGTCAGGTATTCCTGGCTAGCTGCTTTCTGTACATTATGATGTCGATGTGGAGCTCTGTGAATACGAAGAATGTCTCCAATAGTTATGAATTTCTTAAGTACACTCGATACTAAGGATAAATGCGAATTGTATAATATTCATGAAGCATTTATATCGAAGTTTGAATCCGATCTGTTGTTTACTCGTTACTTTGACGTGCTAGAACTGAGACAATATATAGACACATTTACCAACAGGAGTTTTAGTTTCAAAGTATTTTATATCTAATCCCCAATAACGATATACTGAATAATAAAAATAAATTCAATACATGTGGGTTTGCATACATAATGTAATGGTGTTATAATATGCAATTATTTTCATCAGGTAACATCCATCAACATGTGTTATAATTAGAAATATTATTCAGTGACATATTATAAAACGCGCCCATCCTCACATGCACCGCATTCGGATTACAGAGTGTTTTTTGTGAGGACCCAAAAGCAGTGTGCAAAATAGCCACTGGCCCGCTAGCCCATGGCTAGTAAAACTCCAGTCGGGCCAGTAAATCTCCATAGTCACTAGCCCGTCTGGTTAGTGAATTATCACTTGGTCATTTCGTAAATCACTCTCTCCGACTTGTTAAGTTATAATACATTTTTAAATCATGCAAGATTATGGCCTGATAAAATGTTCATATTATCAGCTTAATGAAAAAACACTTGTCTACATTCACATTTCGGGATAGTGAATTATTGTGTGGGCTAGTAACTTTCAAGCATAGCTAGCCTGATTGGCTAGCAAATTTGGAAGCTATTTCGCACACTGTCCAAAAGGTATGACAGTGGGTTCAAACTCGGTTTGAGCCGATAATGTCTCTGGCTTTGTCTGTCAGCCTCATATACATGCTTGTGGTGAGCAGCAACCTGCAGCATTTATATGTTTGGTACACTGTTCAACGGGAGTTAAAGTTAATCAATCGTATATTAACTATCCAGTTATCTGTCATATGTAGCACATATCCTATTCACTTCCATTTCTAATCTCCATCATATATATATAAGGGAACAGCTATTGTTACAGTATATACCGCTATTCTGTTCACCCCTCATATATAACGCTATCCCATTATTTCTCACACCGCTGGTCTATTCACTGCTATTCTTTTCATTGTCACATGTAACATATAATATATTACTATCTGCCATTTATACCGCAATTTTATTCACTCTCACATATTTATGACGTCGTATTATCTGTCATATATGCCGTTATTCTATTCACTGCTATTCTGTTCATAGTGACATGTAACAATATATTATCATCTGTCATTGATACCTCTATTCTATTCACAGTCACATTTAACAATATATTATTATCTGTCATTTATACCGTTATTATAATGACAGTCACATGTCACAATATCATTATCGTCATTTATACCGCTGTTCTATTCAGTCACATGTAACAATATATTATTATCTGTCATTTATACCGTTATTCTAGTGACAGTCACATGTAACAATATCATTATCTGTCATTTATACCGCTATTCTATTCACAGTCACATGTAACAATATATTATAATCTGTCATTTATACCGTTATTCTAATGACAGTCACATGTAACAATATCATTATTGTCATTTATACCGCTATTCTATTCACAGTCACATGTAACAATATATTATTATCTCTCATTTATACCGTTATTCTAGTGACAGTCACATGTAACAATATCATTATCTGTCATTTATACCGCTATTCTAGTCACAGTCAAATGTAACAATATATTATTATCTCTCATTTATTCCGCTATTCTATTCACCGTCACATGTAACAATATATTATCATCTGTCATTGATACCTCTATTCTATTCACAGTCACATGTAACAATATATTATTATCTCTCATTTATACCGCTATTCTATTCACCGTCACATGTAACAATATATTATCATCTGTCATTGATACCTCTATTCTATTCACAGTCACATGTAACACTGTTCTGTTGTCTGTCTCAGGGATGTCTTAACACTGGCGATCCTGGAACTGCGTGAACAGAGTAAACTTGACGAAATCAAGAAACACTGGTGGTATGCGAGAAGTGAGTGCCCATCCGAGAAGGCGTCGCCTGTGAGTAAGGTGATCATTTTTTTCTTGCCTCTCACTGTCTTCACCACCAGTTACAGACTCACCTCTCATACTTCGCAGAATACTGGTCCAAACGGCGTCAAACCCAGCTCGCTCAAACATCGCCATGTCGCCAAGGACAGTCCAGCAGTGTACTTTTGACAATGACCACAACAAGTTCATAATATATCTAACAGAATGACCATAGTCTTTAATTCGCTTGAGTATATCAAGCATACAAAATGAGTACAGTTTCTTTGTATCAATAAAAGTAACGTCATTAACTACCTTGATCATTTCAGAATATTTATATAATTAGGTTTCAACTCCCGGGTATGTATTTATTATGTCATTTATTCAATGGGTATATACTGGGATGATCATTTGAAAAGTGATCATATCTTTTGATGCTAAGCAGAAGATTTTATGGAAAACGATAGCCTACAGTAGTGGACCCCTGGTATGATGGTACAGGCCAATAGCTATACGTTGAGAGGTATGTCTGTGATAGATCTGCTTTATAAGTTGTTGGCTGCGATGCATGGACTCTGAAGGGAGTGTCCTTCAATGAACATGGGCTTTATATAAGGTTTGTACTCTCATATTGGTAAGACTTTATTCCAGTAATTTTATCAGCACATCCTCCTATGTCTACTATGAACACAAGTTATGCTTGCTTTCGCCAACTTGAATCTTTTCTGTATTTTAAAATATTATAACAAAATGCACCGTGCCAGCGGAGCTTGACCTCTATACTTCTTAGTAATCGGCTACATATTAATAATGTCAGTATGCATATACCAAAGTATCTTCGTGTTTTGGCTTGCCTCAAACTCTTCCATTTTTCCATTTTTGCATAAAGTAAGCTTTTTGCAACGAATATCGATATCGTGCACTTTGATATATGTCTCTTCTTCATAAATATTTCTTCTTATACATTCTACGAGCACATTTTAGCCTTTATATCGAAACGTATTGTCTGTTCACAATACAAAAGAAACTAATTCCCTGACATAATTCACTGAAACTAGCAATGATAAAGATAAACAAAAAATATTTACCGTGCTTAGCTTCACGGATCAATGTTCATTCAAACACACCATTTGAATATATAGGAGAATAATGTTGTTTATTCATTACCGTCTGACGAATGAGTTTCAAATATGATAAAGCAGGTGATAAAATATTTACTTTGGGAGGAGCCATGCCACATCAAAGGGAGATAATTCATCAGCGGCATCGTCTCCTCAAAGCACAACTGTCAATTTGATCACAATTGGATGAATGTTAACCTTTGAAAAAAGTGCCGAATCCTTCCGAGGTCATATCAATCTTTTCACAACTGGAAGGCATTTCTCTATCTTAGCTCCCAATAAATGTACAAAGTTTTGTCAATGACACAACTTAAGCAATGTGATGTATTTGAAGCAGTGTATTGACATATTTGGACATGAACTCACCCAAATGAATTAAATGGACTTCTGTAATCGTGCACGATAAACCATGTAATGTTACTTATATGACTTATATGTGATATTCAACAGAAATTATCCATTCTGTGATAACGAGACAAAGCTATAATGGCGAATGGGTTCAGGAACATAAATGACGATATGATACCCTGGAAAATCAAGAATATTTCCACATCACCTGTTTTGTTTTGACACTTAGGATAGTAAAGACAACGCCTTGACACTGACCAAAGTGGCTGGGATCTTCTACATACTAATCGTCGGTTTGGGTATGTCTGTACTATCGGCCATATTCGAATTCTTATACAAGACAAAGGTGGATTCAAAAAAGCAGAACGTAAGTATCTGATACTTTAAAACATTGGTATTGTCGCTGCTTAGACCAAGGGTACCATCAGATTATTTTGTAATCCGCCTGACCATCAATACAGAAATATAAAAATACCAAACGTGATCGATGAAAATGGCATGTACAAGCCAACCCATGGTCACAGCTATTGTGATTTTAATGCCCGCAACATCTATTTCTTATGGCATATTACATGAACATGATTAGAAAATGAAACAAAATATAATTATAAACGTCAATGTATGTGTGTTGTTCACTTGATATTGTAATGCAGTATAATGCGCGAATAACCTTCTTGCCCCCAGAGTGTAAATTAATACCAATTATAGCATATTAAGCTAGAATCATAATTCTACATCAAATACTAAATAAATCAGCGAAGAATGGGTCTTCAGCAACCCATGTTCGTCGTAAGAGGCGACTAACGGGATCGGTTGGTCCGGTTCGCTGACCCCGCATGTCATCGAATCCCGATGCTCATGATGTCGGTCACTGGATTGTCTGATCCAGACTCGATTATTTACAGACCGCCGTCATATAGCTGTAATTATGCGGAGTGAGTGAGTGAGTGAGTTATTATTTAACGTCACATCATGCGGAATGCGGCTTTGAACAAGAAACGAGACAAAACCAAACAATACTAAACAATCTGTAAATGTAGATGACTGATGGGTACAATCCACAAATGTGAACTGCGAATTAATCTAATTATGTTTGGCATACATCTGAGTGATAGCGCATAGATCAATGGACTTGAAAGACACGAACATATTAAATATATAACCTATATATTTGAAATGACATACATCAGGATGAAAAACTGGGATGTCGACAGCGGCATTTTATAACCAAACAGTAATGTATAAATTATGAGCGGAGTCTCATAACCTACATCCAAATCAGCCAATAATGACACATGAAGTATAGACGGCATCTAGGGAACAGCACACAATCAACCAGCATCACCTAGCCTGGACGACTGGGAAAGCGTCCTGGAGACCTATTCTACACCATAACGCTCAAGGGGGAGCACCACAACACTTATATAATTATGCCACAGAAAGACTAAGAGCATTTACAAGGCTTATATTGACAGGGGACATGTGTGGCTCAAACACTGATAATACCATTTCAAGACTTATACAATTCGTAAAGAAAAGGCCCTTTGTAATAGTCTGTTGACGAGCAGTACACGCGAATGTCCAAATGAGACATTTAATTCACAGTCATTGAGTCTGTCCGTTGTTACCAGGTTTCATTTGGATCGGAGGCTCGTTCCAAGTTTCGACTGTCAATCAGCGGTCATTCGGACGACGAATCTGTTGGTGTGAGGACCCCACTGAGATCCACCGGCGGGACGGTGAGTCGCCCTGCCAATATAAGGACACAATGCTGTCCACTATACTTCCTATGTACAACTTCAGCGGTCATTCCACAGACAGTCCGACAGTCCAATATATTTCTGGGTCCTCTATGGCTTCTGCAACGCTTTCCTCACTTAGCAAGCTGACATGTCGTGACAGGAATGGAATACAGTTCAAAACTAGCATTCACATAAACTGTTTAAGAAGTATACATCGCAAGAATTCAGTTGACAGTTGAACCAGTCCCTAGCTTTCGAAAGCGCAGAGAAATTTATGTATACTAGTTCGTAACGCGTTTGTTTATCAAACCCAATTGTGCAATGAGTGGAAGACATTTCACATTTCCCGTATATTGCTAGAATGTTGAAAGCGACGTAAAATCCAAGTCACTCACTACAAAGTACATCTAAACAGGCCACATCGGACATACTTTTCTCACTAGACCATCGAAGTAGTTGGTAATACCCGAAAATTGTCATATATACATGAATATCGTTTATTGTCATTCCTTCATTTAACGCATTTCCTGAAATTCCACCGTTCGTTATTATCGAATTTGTTTTAAATTACCTCGTGTTTTACCCAAATAAGTGTAATGACTGTGACGACACCGTCCGGGTGTGCAAAGCAGCTCGTCAACACCAACATTGATTTGAGAACAGTGTTCATATTACCTGGTGCTGTGCAAGACTCACATATTCATGGAAATGATAACAATTGATGTCTCTAATGTGACACAGGCCAAAACTCACTCACTTGGGGAAACGTCATTCAGTGTACATTGGATTGTCATAATCTAGGTGAAGGCGGTACATTGGCTGTCGGTATGTGGTCAGTGTTCGCATATTCGACATATCTGGATCAATTTTGAAAAATTAATAGCTCAAAAACATATTCTTATACCAGCCACAGTGGTAGCGATGATGGCTGTTGCACTTATCTGTGGTAATGTGGATTGAAGTAGACACTTTCCATTGAGTGTGTGGTAACAATTTGGTAAATGGTTGCAAAGAGAATTTATTCTGTGTTTCCACTTCAAGCCCTAAACTGCTTCTTGACCAGCACTCTGTATTTATGCCAAAATTTCCCGATTCAGAGATTTCCTATTATCTGTATTTTCTATATGTCAAGTGGCATTACCCTCGTATTCAATTCTATATAATTCCATTTGTGCTTTGGGATCCGGGCAATAAACATGAATTACTTTTGGCGATTTTAGATGAGAATCCCACCAGTAAATTAGCCAACATGAAAGGCCCCACGTACGATGATCATCTCAGTGCGTTTACCGTGCTTTTAACACATTAACCTTCCCCAAACGATCAGGTAGTTGAATATCACTTTCAAAGGTATAAGAACATATCATGCTTCTGGAACGATCAAGAGGACTTTTTCCAATCAAGCTCACTATTATGATGGAAAGTGAGAGCGTGAACGACAAGGGAGAGTTCAGAAAATGACATGTCATCCAGTTTATTGTGGCGGGCAGAAAAGCAAATAATCTCATAAAACCGTACCATTTCCAGTGATTGCTGCTTTTTAGGCTGGATATTCTTCGACAAAGCTAAGTTCTTTCAAAGCATGCACGGGTCATGCTGAGGAAAGTGCCATTTAAAACCAATCATTAACAACGGGACTAAGAATAAATTTATTGAAAGATTAGTATCGATTTCAGGCGCGTGTGTGAGCATTTTGTATTCCCCTGACTCTTGCGGCCTCAATCCCGCCTTCACAATTACTGCTCTGAGTTTGAAAACAGCTCCCAGCGGGCCCACAGAACATGGCTCTGCCCCATAACTCTGGATTTTAATAGAAATTATCCATTATCAAGAAAGATCATACTGTAACACTCAGTGGGTCGGAATATTCTACCTAGAGAGGGCTCTGTCCCTCGAGGTTTTTACAAAAGTATGCCCACATATAAAACGAAACTCGGCTTCTCCTTTTTTGAAGCACTGTAAGTACAGACAACGAAATGCGTATTATATATGCGTTGAAGCTACAAAGTAGAGCATGTTCTATATTAGTACATTTATGTATGGATATGCTGCCCTGAGACACTTAAATGATGTGTAACACAAGGAAACGGCGTGTTATCATTAATGCCAGTTGTGCACACATTTCTGACTGTTCCAGTTTCATCTGATTGCAAGGCCATGCTAACATCCTTCTCGCCACGTTATACGCACTTCATAGTTGTAAACTTGCAAATTATCTGTAGTAGTGGATCTACGGCTCTCGTTAAGTATATGAATGGCTGATGAGTGGGATGATGCCGAATATATGTATTTCCGAGTTTATTTGTGAATAGCGCCATCTATATTGCTTGATGAATGAAGGGCTAGAGGATGGTAAGGGTGACAGGAGTTTTTCCCCTTGCTTCTGTTGATCTAAATCCGCAGTACTTTCAGTTATCTTTGCATTGTCTTTATGAATCATATCAAACATCTCAGAATCAAATTAAGGAAGTGTGTAGATAATGTTTTAATTAGGAGCTTCATTTTTCCTCGCGTATCCTTTATTAAAATTCTGCCCCTTGTATGCGTATTAGGTAATGGATTGGAATATTATGAAATCAAATATATGATTTAGAATACGTCTTTACGCGAGCTCAGACAATATACATGTAAATAATACTCTCGCGCACTGTTGGAAAATCAAAATATAATTGTGTGTATTTTGCATTGGGTATGCATTACATTTGATATGCATAATGAAGAATGCTGCAAAATGGAACAAATCACAGCTGAATTATTTTTAAATTGAAATGTTATTTGTTTCAGTTTACATATACAGGACCGGATAACGTTAGAAAGACACAAACTATAGTGTGAGAACAAATTGCTCGGATAAAAAGAGATGCAGCTGGAACCCGCAAAAAGGAATCTGTTTAAAAATACCATGACAACGGCCGATTCCTTCACACAAGACTCCATCCCGGTTTGAAGTCTTGACGCTGATGCAACCATTGGACTGAATACCAAATGACCACAGTACACATTGTGATATCAGTAATTACATGCTTCATTTTAAGATATAGATGACGTTATTCTATTCAGGAAAGCACGTGAGTAAATGTTTTATTGTTTGAATCTTGAATTTTATTGTAAAATACCATTTCAGTGTGTTTGAAAACATGTGATGGTATCATTTAGATGGAAGCTGTGTCAGTGTTCCATGAGTTAAACAGAAAATGTTAAATGTACCGGTATATTTAGGAATTGATTCCACTTTAATTCATTTATGTGTGCATTTTGTAGTTTTAGTGTTGTACATGGTATCCATATGCAAACTCTAGCTCTAATTAGAGACATACTGGTAGCTATGCGGTAAGATTCCCTTAACTCTTGTAAATAGCAACAAACTATTGTTGACATATCTTTTACACACATTCATTGTTACTTTCCAAGCTGTTTGTGCACTTCTAGCGATAGTTAAAAGTTGTTGAATAGGTTTTTTCAAACTGTTACAATTATTGATTTGTGTCAAAAGCACAGCTGATACCTTAGGAAATGTCGTATTTTCTCATTGTTAGAACATGTTCAGGATGTCATAAATCATGCTTTTGTTAACATTCCTTCGGTAGTTATATGACCACGTTTGTCCATTGCCCTATGAAGTGTCTGCAAGCTTATAGCTAATTAGTTTTAGATCCTATAGTATTCCTTTGTCAATCCGTATACGTTACTATGATGTTGGCAACTGCGAGTGAAGACAATTAAACCTTGGAGCCAGAATAACTGACAAGCAATGTTATATACGAGTATCTTGTTGAATGACGATATGTGTACTTTAATGACATGTTAAATGCTCTCGTTTAAGCTTAGTTGTGTATATATGTGTATATAGTATGACATTCTGAATGCACAAGCATGATATTCCTATTTTTATACTTTTCCGTGTAATATTTGAATGCATGACTCCATAAAACGCCTCACTATTCCCACGAGGGGTTCATGTGTACAGCTGTTCCTCACACACATTTTCTAATAAAATCACTCTTTTGTAGTATTGTTTTCGTTGTTTCTATAACTCTTGTCTTCACAATCCAAGTGTAGAATGCACGGAGATGTGATGTAACCACATACACGAAACCTCGGTTGTCCGGAAGCCGTCAGTGTGGAACACTAGTAGATTGGAAACTGTTACGTGGAATACCACATGTGACAATACTCCATCGAAACAAACTGTACATATTTAAGGAGGGTCCACTTTACCGAAGACGATTCAGGCCGGATAAACGGGGGATTAAAATTATGAAAGTTTAATTACTAAAAGGACTGAATGTGTTCATTATGTCAATATACGAACCATATTCAAACTGGATCTAAAACATTTATCACTCATTCATTCGATTAAGAGACATACTGAATGTGTCTCATCTCTATCTTACTTACATTCTTACATTTCTGATGAGATTATGTTTCAAGGGCACAATTAATGCAATACTTCCGTCTAAATTAGTCAAAACGCAATACCAAAGTGTTAACACAATGCCTGTTTTCTACTTAAACGGACAAATAGACATGAGCACATGAATAACTAACACGAGTCTGACAAGTCTCAGATCGCACTGATATTTTACACCGTGTGTCAGCATTATTTTCACAAAAACGGTAAACGTCTGGGGCTTTCTTCATCAACAAGCTGAGAAGTCGTGATATAACTGGAATATTGTTCAAGGCCATGTTACACCAATCTGACTCGTTCGCTTTACTCTAAGACAAGTAAACCTGAGGGGTACATCGAAAAGCATTAAATTAATACAAAGTGCTCACAGTGTAAGTAAAACCGTATGTGCAAATCGTAACAAAGACTCTGTACAACTAAAGAATATACATTTACTTTTGATTTACAAAATGTAAACACAAACCTAAATCATAGCATGATAAAAGGGGGAATATACCTGAAAGCACCTTATTGTATGGTGTTATGAAGCAAGTTCATATTTTGATACAAATATAATCCCATGTAAGTTCTGAACGTGCAATGGCAAAATGTACATTATTCAGAACTTACTATTGAACGTTGCATCTAAACTTAACGAAATTGTTAGGACTACCGACAAAATCGACGTTGACTAATTATATTAGCATAACTATGTGCTGTGTCTCAAAGGAATATTTAAGTTCGAACCATTTTCAAAACTAATTATTAGACTTCGTCAGCATTAGGGTGTCCATCAGCTCAACACCAAGTCCCACACTAACAGCCGGAACACGATACTCCGTGGGGGGCACATGTCAATATCTGCCAATCACAAGTGTCATCCCATGCGGTACAGCGAGGACGCACGGATAGCCTCGGGCGATTCAACAACACAGCTTAAGTGCTAACTAACCAGTGATTGACAGACTAGATTTCAAATACATTACGCCCCAAATTGTGCTTTCACAACATAAAGGGAAACAATAGGTTTTACGGTGCTTATGTTTATACCACTTGTCGATAAACTCCGCGCGTTTGGTACCTATGTCACAGACCTACCTGGATTAGAAATGTTAATATCCCATAGGAATATATGGAAATAAAATCAGTAAACTAACAGCAATTGGGGTTTGGAGATTAACCGTCCCAAATCAAATTTCACTGAGGCTATAGGTTCCAAATCAGATCTACAAGCGCGGTTAAATCTACAGGTAATCAACTTCTACATTCAAAACTCTTTGGAGTTGGTTGAGTCCAATGTTTGGAGTGGCTTTGGAGTTGGTTGAGTCCAATGTTTGGAGTGGCTTGTCTATCTGAATTACGGAATCAGTGACAACAGCTTTTACTGTGGTGCAGTATGTACTCAAATAGGTTTTATACATCGTGATTCTGCACCCGAGCATGTGGCAGGCATTGAACGCATTAGCACACCAGTCTGGAAACAGAAATAGGCACTTCTATGAGAGCAACGCAATCAAGGTTTTGTTCTACACGCACATTGTAATGCAAAGATTTATGGCATGGCTGGCGCATATTGAACAACACCAACATTAAAAATATAAGTATTTTACCAAGACTGAAAAAAGTTGCACTGTTCTTTTGTATCCCTCCGCTTCGATGCAGCCGTGAAATGAGTTGTTTCATTCAGATGGAGTTTATTGTTATTTGATAACCTCTGACCCATCTGAATCCAGTAGTGTCATATTCCATGTTGAAATTGGCGATTGTTTCGTAATGGTGGTTAATCAACTGTGTAAACAATCTGATATTAAATTCGTAATTAGGTAATTCTGTTCATCCTTATGGAACTAAATAAATTTGATAAATATCTTGAGATCATCGGACATCATGTATTTAAAACTTACAGTATGACTGTAGACGGATGTTTGGGTAAATGTGTGAACATAGATGTGAGTATTGCGAAAAAAGCGGCGTAAAACTAAACTCTCTTGTGTTTTACCTCTGTTGAAGGAGGGCGGGGGTGGGTGAGGTGAGGTGAGGTTGAGCTTGTGGTTAAAGCGTCTCTTCCACGCCGAAGACTCGGGTCCGATTCCCCACATGGGTAGAATGTGTGAAGCCCATTTGAGGGGTGCCCCCGCCGTGATATTGCTTGAGGAGAGAGATTGCGAAAGCGGCGTAAAACTAAACTCACTCATTCACTCTTGTGTAAAGTTGTTGACGTTAGTCAAGGAGGAGAGGTGAGGAGAGGTGGAGGAGAGGAGAGGTGAGGAGGAAGAGATGTTGAGAGGTGAGGAGAGGAGAGGGGAGGAGAGGTGAGGAGAGGTGAGGAGAGGTGAGGAGAGGTGCAATCCTGTTTAGTGTGGCGTTAAAGGTATCTCACCCATACAGTGACGTGCTGTACCTGTGTGGATGCACTATGTTGTCTCCGTGTAGGTCAGTCCTATCCCCTTAATGGCGAGTGACCGACAGGAGCACAAGTACCATCTTTCAGGCATGTTGGTATTATCCGCCCAGGAGATCGAAACACCTTTCATTTTCCAAATGGCGGTATGGAGGTTGCTAAACAAATTTTAGTGTATCCGTAATTGAAGTGGTGTTAAGTTGTTTGTTTTGGGGTCTTTTTGTTGTTTTTTTGTTGCTTAACGCCGCACTCAGCAATATAACAGCTGTATGGCGGTATTAATATTAAGTTACTGTAGTAATTATGTATATCACGGGGTGCTGGCTGCTTCCTGGAGTATGTACCAACTGGATGGCCAACAGGTGATTTTACTACATTGGAAGACGCTTTTGGTGTAGTGTTCATGAGTCCATTATCGACACAAATCAGGATTCAAACCCGTCTGTTCAGTAAAACCACTCTGTATAGTGAGTTATATCATGCGTGTGCTACAGACACACTCAGTATAGTAATCAGGTTGGATTTCGAACACAGAACCCAGCAAATAAGGGCTATATTTGTGTTTAGCAAAGGTGTAAAATCCCACTTTATTATTTGTTTTATATAAACTCCAAGAATAGGAATTTACAGATATCTGAAGTGTCACTATTGATGATATTGTTGAATATCTCACCGTTAAAATTGAAATTCAGCTACATATTATATTCTAATGAAATATCTTATTTGTCATAATGATTTCGAACATTTAATATTCAACCTCATTATGTATTATACAACATTTTAATATACATTAAATAAAGGGACGTTTGCCTATTCGAGACTCGATGCTTCAAGTGACGTAGTATTCTCGCTGAACTATTTGTGCCTGCTGCACAAACAACACTGAATGATGTAACAGTTGGAAAATTGCCAGCTTCAGGTGGAAATTTTGTCAGTGTATCAAACTAGTGCTTAATGGAACTCTTCCATACTTAAATACTTAATTTCAGACTTAAACTATCAAAACTTTTTTCAAACGTTCTTTGACTCAGGATGATCATTCGCTTCGTGAACACCTGGTGTCACCACACAAAGGTTTCCAAAGTACCCCTTATATTTCTGCATGCAATCTTGTTTTAATCATGCACCACTTCTTATGTTCCTGATATTTAAGAGGGATGCAAAATGTCACTTACAGAAAATTGGAATCATAAAACTAGTTCTCTAACTACTACGCATTTCTGCAAAACATTTTAAATAGCTAATAATGAACATTTTTTACTATGTCTCAACCTTACACAAAGCACAAAGTGTTACTCTGTTGATAGTATCCAACTGAGAGTTGTTTCCCGAGTGACAGACCGTAAATACATGATGTTTATAGGTTTGTCAGCACCAAACGTACGCGAGTTCTTTGCACCAAAGAGGGAACTGTCGGATGCCTGTCCCTTCCCCTACCACACACACACACACACACACACACACATATATATATATATAAATATATATATATATATATATATATATATATATATATATATATATGCACTCACCACCACAGAAATCTGACTCGCTGTAATAAAACAATGTCATTAGTATTGCTCAAAGCATCATTAAAACGTCATTAAACAAAATCCACTCACTCACTCAAGTTTTGATTCAAAGTTATTCCTTATTACAGGTTGCAGAGTGCACTTAAGTCAACAGAGACGGTGTTGATGGCTTAAAAATAACCAAGCTAGCACGAATTCAAATGTAACTCAACCAATCGTTTAGAAAACTAATATTGGCACTATTAAGAACACCAATTCAGTTAGATTTAAGTGATTATCGAATAGTGACTCTCTGGCGCCTCTCAGCGCCTAGGGTCGCATTTATTACGCGTTGCCACAAATGACATATCAGTCTAAAGATTGTTCGTCTTCATCTCTGACGTTAAGGAATGAAATAAACTTTAATATGCGTCGTTTCAATCTAATCTAGACTAACATTTTATCACCACGCGACATTAAATTACTTCCTGGCTGGTTACAATTTCAACAAAGCTCGTTGAATTTTCTTCATGTCTGAGCCAATCCTGGAGAAAGTTGATTTTTTTGTTTCAATAATTATAACCTTTCCCCTTTTTCCAAAAATGGAAACGCTCAATACACACGTTGGTCTTGTCAGCAACTCTGTGGTGATGCCAGGTGGAACAGGAGCTTACATATAGAGACCCGTGAAGATCTGGGTTAGGATT